AGAGAGAGAGAGAGAGAGAGAGAGAGAGAGAGAGAGAGGGAGTTTACCTATAGCAAAACTGATTAACATTTTCTCTTAAAGCTTTTTAAGAAAAGGTGAGAGCCAAAGACATGGTATCTTCTTCTCTAAAGGATGCCTTTAAATCTTCCATTACCCCCTCCAAATTTCTCTTAGCTGCTGAATGTATTTATAATGAATAAAATATATTTGTAGAGCAACTTTAAGTGCATTTCAAATGGTGTTAAATACTAAAACTTATTAGCACAAATCTCACTGATAGATTTTTCTGCCTTTTCATGTCTTCTGGTCATGTATTTTGAACACAAAAGGTTTTAAGATAGAATAAGAATATGTGAAGCTAGCCTAATCATGATTGTGTTCCTTGATACATAACTTATGGTAAACGACATCTAGCAGTTTAATTAAAATACACATTTAATGGATGTGTATTGAATTCATTCCCTGGTAACGAAAACTGTAGATATTCTAGCATAGCAATGAAATTCTGATACCAGTGCATTATTTTTTTGAATTATAAAATTAAAATGGTAATAGCAACCTAACTAAAATCTTTAAATGTGAAATAATTAAAAATTAGGGCTAATACTCTACCCTTTACCTATAATTCTGTACAGCATAAGTAACAAGTCACACTCTCTACAGTGAAAAGGGACTGTATAGTTTATTTGAGATGAAGACAGTGTTTAGGATTGAGTTTCTGACATCAACTCTGGGACCAATATGATTGTTAAACATTCAACCTGTGTTAGGAGTGATGCAACCTAAACACATTATTTTTTAAAATGATTCAATTGTTGCAATTTAGCTTCATGTCGTTCTCCTCAATGTCTAGCTTGTGTCTTCTGATTTAATGTATTTTAACTGAATTTTCAAATTCCCCCCTCATTTTTGTTTAAATGTGATGCTTTTATAAGAACTCTATGAGAAGTCAATATCCAATTTAAGTTTTTTCTGGTACAAAACTCAAAACTTATTTTGTGTAATGAATTCATGGATTGGAAATAATTCAATGTGTGGCTTTGTTGTTGACATAGAAATTCAACATGTTTCCATGAAGGTCCAGTAGAAACAGAGTGAGTTTATAAAACAATTGTTACTATTTCATAAGGAAGATATTTTATAAGGCATTTACATTGCCTCTCAATCACTATGACAATAAAAAATAAAAATAACCCCCCAACTAATCCTATGACATGAGGGCAATAAAGATTTTTGTTTTTAAAGCAAACAATTTGTTTTTTAAGTTTCTTCCAATGTTTAATAACAGCTTGCTATTATTTATATATTTTATGTGCTTTTGATCAGATACAAATTTTAGTAGGGAAATAAGTAAACATTCCTAAAAATGAATTATAAACAACTCTGTTTTAGAATAATACTAAAAGGATTTTAAAACTTTCAATTCAGTAAAGTTAATATTTTTCCTTAATTGAAAGAATGGAAAAACAAAATTGTAGACACATTCATGGCTTGAAAACAGTCTTCATGCCCCCAAAGTCATGTTTCTTAGCAGCCACTGTTGGGATCTGCTTCCGCTACAGTCCTGCATGGTAGGCACCATTTTGTCTTCTTCAGAAGGTTCATCAAGACATTGGTTACTGTTAACATGTCTCAAGGTGAGTCTCTGTAAAAGATAACAAGTAATCAGTGTAATATAATGTATCTTTTACTTCACTAACACATCAGATTGAATCTATTCTTTAAAAAACAAACAAAAAACTTTGATTTTTTTTTTAGTATAAACACTGTGATATGTTTATAAAAGGAACTGTGCACAGGTGGCTCTGAATTAATTATTATACAACTTCCGCTGTTATGATTTCATCATTGTCTAATACACCTTTATTTGCAGATAGTTAAACAAATTGGCCAATTTATGATGCACTGCCAGGAATTTGGGCTCCTTTGCAAAAAGCCCATTTGTGATCTCTGAGTTCAGTTGACAGTTGTAAATATTAACAGGCTTTCACAAAAGCTTAGTTTTCTTAGGCATGTGTTATTCAGTAACCATTTAGTAAACATGCAAAGAGATGTCACAGCTGTGACCCAAATGAGCAAAACTGTTAGAGATGTTCCCATTTCAAAACTCTAAACAAGACATAGTATCTGTGACTGAGAAATTCATTGTAAAAGAATGATTATTATAACAAAGATTGCTTTACTTAATAGTATGCTCTGCTCATCATATTTTGGTTTGCATTTTTGAGAATCTTAAAAAAATGTCAATATCAAATAAAAACAGGGATGTGGTGGTCATATTTTTAATATTACATCTATATTTTATTTTCTTTATAATAACAATATTCATTAACTAGCATCCTCTCAATACCCAAATGCTGAAATGTAATTCCAAAAATTGCATCATGTTAACTGGTCATTACATGTCTTCTCTTTCAAGTTTATATTTACATTTTGAAATCATATATTTTTAACTTTCAGATATACATTTTAAGTCTACATGCTTTATACTAATTTAGTCACACTAATATACATTTTGGCTCAGTTTCATGAGCAATGCCTAGAACTACACTATGTGAATCACCCCTCACCATCCTCACACTCTCCCTTAAACAGAAGGGAAGTGTTTTGAGTGTTTGGGAGGTGATTTGCAGGTATATCTTGAAAAAAGACACACCATATAGTTTTGTTGCAAATTACCAAAATTAAAGGTAGACACTTTTTTTGACTCTTTATATTACAATTGAAAGTTGGACTAAAAAAATTCAGGGAGAATGTCATAAAAATGGTGGAGAGGGCCAGCCGAGTGGCGCGATGGTTAAGTGCTGGCTTGGGATGCCAGAGGGCTCCGGTTCGTATCCCACATATGAGGGCCAGTGACACTGCTCTCCACAGCTAAGATGCTGAACAACAGCTCAAACTGGAGTTGGGCTGCTGTGAGTCACCGGTGATGGTGTAGGCTGCAGCCACTGCTGCAGTGGGTTGCCATGGGCTACCGTGTGTAGCCAGCAGCCAGCGTGAGCGGCCATCCAGAAGCCGGCGACTGATCTGCCTCGCCCAGGAAGAGTGCAATGATGGTGCCAACTTGGGCCAGTGAAACAATGTCTTCTACAACTAGACTAAAGAAAAAAAGGACAGCAACTTGTCTGTTCCCATCCCCCCAATTCCCCAATAAAAATCTTTAAAAAAAAAAAAAGGTCGAGGAACACTGCCTAGACAATTGTAATATGTTTGGATTAGGGCTGCAAACACCCTGGACTGCACCGTCCTGAGAAATGATGGAATGGAAAATAGGCTTATGGTGAAGATGTTTAATAGACAACAAACAGGAAATTAAAAGAGCAAGGCTGTTAGATGTGAAGGAGGTTTCAAGATTGAGGCCTTTGTTGTTGCTCTTTCAATAGATGGAATCAGGCTATTTATACTAAAAATTGGAGAAAAGAAGTAATGACCAAATATAAGCAAGAAGGGAGTTGATTTATGCTTCTAATACTAGTAATTATGTTGTTGGCTTATGAACCAAAAGCCAACTTGAAAAGAACACATTCAAAACAAAACAAACACAATTCTTTTCTAGAAAGTCCTAGTTAAAAATCAACAAAATATTCTCCATTTTTGTTATATACTTGAGGTCCTTTGTATATATATGCCCTTTTTAAAAAATGCTACTTATCCTTGCTTGCTTCTATAGGTCCTTTAAAAATATATATATGACTTTAAGGATTAAATTGAATATGTGTTGTCAATTACATAAAGATAATTTTTAAATATTAGTAAGTATTGTTCTCTCTAAAAAATGGATACATATTTTCTTTGAAGGAATTATTTAATAGTCAAAGGCCACAGCTATAAAGACAACAACCAGCCAGCCAACCAACTCTGCCATTTTTAGTGTTGTACAGTAGAAACAACAGACATTTTAGGGTCAGATATTCCTAAGTATGAATTCCTGCCCTTCCGCTTCCTGGCTGTGAAAATTTGGAAAGTTACAAAATCATTCTGAGGAATCAGATTCTTTGGCAGAAAAATGTTTAGTTACACTTACGAATACTTAAAAATGCTCTTACCTTTTCTGCTTAAAAAAAATTTGACCTTTAGTCAACTAACTAATCTCTTGGCAACCTGATAAAGGTAAAAATGTTAACTATGTTTCTAGGCACCATTGTTTGTGGTAAAATATGACATTTGGTTGATCAACTGTATCTGCATCTAATAAACTGCATTATAAATACATGATAGGAGCCAAACTGTGGCCTTCTCTCACTTCAAAGACTTGTTCCATTGGCTTACTTGAAGCTCTGCCCATGGAATTGTTACAGAGATACTGTCTCCTGTGAGGCATAAGGCTGTTTAAGCTAGATTGCTTTCCATGCCTGTCTGATGTGGCTCTCATCCCCTCCCACAGAGCTGTCACCTGTGGAGACGCTGGCTCCCCTAAGGCTGCATGAACTGCTGTGAGGTGATGTAAATTCTGCTCAGAGAAACAAGTTGTGGTTTCTACTGTAGAATTCTGTAAGGAGACTTGGAGACTAAATGTTTAGTTAAGTGTGAGAAGACCCCCAGTTGAGCATTGTACCTACCAGGTATGGTTCTTTGAAAACAAACTAAGATAATATATGTAAATTGCCTTGTACACAAGTTCTCTTTGTGCAAAAGGTCTGGATTTTCAGCTTCCCAGTGCACACTTAGAATGCCCTTGTCTCAAATGCAGTTCTAATCCAAACCACACACCTTCTTTCCTCTCCTCGCCATGCCTCCATGCCCAGCTTTTCACAAGCATTCCAAGCTCAGCTGTGTGCGCCACTAACAACTTTCAACTGGTTCATCTGAACCAGAAACACGCCTTAACTTCCCGTGAGTTCTCATAGCAAGGTATTGGATAATATAACATGCTTTGTTTATAAAACAACAAACACCTTAAGATCAAAACTAGGATTTCTCCTTAATTGCACTTTTTATGAGAATTCTATACTATTTTTTTTTACTTAAACTGAATAATTCATTTTATTGCTTACTGAGAATATACTTACACATCATAAAAGTGAGAAATAAAAGATACTTTTTAAAAAGCTTTTATTATAATAAAAGCTTAATCAACCACAAATAAATGCTTTGAATAATTTACTTCATGAAGTTATTATAAAATACATCTTAATCTTCAATAATGCATTTGCTTCAATAATGCAAATGCTTAAAATAATGCATTTTCTTAAAATTAAGAAAATTAAATAATTTCAATGTTCCAAAAAAATCCATTTTTGGCTGTTAATTTTCTTATTGATTTTTTTAGCTCTAATGCAAAATCTATCTTCATATAGACATGGCTATAATTAGCCTAAAAAGTTAATATGTCATATATATTCCATCAATTATATGTATTTATGAATATATATTTGAAATAAAGAAAAAACTGAAAAATAACCTATTAATTATATACTAAACCCTAGTTAATATATGCACACTCCAAATTAATGAGCAGTAAAAGACAAAAAATAATTCCATGAAAAAATGGCGCATATGTATTTTTGTTAACCACATTTTAAGAAGTTTGTAGATTTTAGTAACAAAACATTACAAAAATACTAAACTAATATTAATGAAGTCTTCAACACAAACCTCCAAAAATTATTAGAGAACATAATCAGTAGGATTGTCAAAAATATTTCTAAAAACTTCCATTCTTGTACAGTTTCTTAGTAGCCATTTTTGCAAAGGGCTATCATTACATATTTCCACAGTGGGCTGTTTGGAGCTATTAGCTACTGAGAGACAGGACTGAGTGATTATGTGAAGAAGAGTGTAAGTCTGTTTGACAAAGAAAATAATGAATAACAACAAAATCAAGTACAAAGGCAGTAATAAATCAATCATTCCTGACAACATACAATTTCTGCTGGATAAGAATGGAAGACACACATCACAATAATTGCATCAATGGAGCTGTGAGCCCCATCGTTTTAAAGATGGCTTTAATATTAACTGTATTTGGTAGGAGTAAATGAAGATAAGGCAGAGAATATGGGGAAGAGCCTAAGATCAAATGATAAAAAATTTGGATGGAAAGCGTTATATTCTCAGTGTTCATTGTAGTAATGAAATGCTTTTCGTGCTACTGAGTTATTTTGTGAGTGGATATTCAAAACCATTGACTAGTCCAGTTTTTAGGTATGGTCTTTGGCTCCCTCTTTCCTTTGCTCTCAACTTTGGTTTATTTTGTACTCAAATCATTTCCACTATGTTTTCACAGGGCTAACCTGGTGGTGTTAAAATGGGATCAAACATATGGTGATGGAAGGAGAACTGACTTTGGGTGGTGAAAACAATGTGATATACAGATGCTGTAATACAGAATTGTACACTTGAAACCTATGTAATTTTACTAACTATTGTCACCCCAATAAATTTGATTTTTTAAAAAAGTGTCCCACATATGTATTGCAACATTTATCCGAATGCCAATTATAAAATTAATGAAACAAGGAAAAAGAAAAAGATCAATTCCATTTGGGCTCTTAATTCGACTTACTTCTCCAAACACAATTTGTAATTATTTGTCAGTTTCTTGTTTTCCATATATTTCCTCAGAAGAAGTACAAGCTCTAGGAAAGCCTGGACCATAACTACCCACATCATCAAGCCCAGAGCCTGCACACAGGAGACCCTCTG